CAGTTTATGTCAAGAGTGCTTTATCTTAAAGGCAAAGTCGACGGTAGCTATGTGGCAAGCATAGTGTGTAGTTTCCCTGTTTCCTTCCCACAGAGTAGAGCTATAAACCTAGGAATGAAAAATCACGAGTACTCCCCCGAAGTACCTCTACGTTCTGAGTTTGAGTCTGCTACGGAGACTTATAGTACTTATCAGAAAACGTATTATTGTTCTTTTCTGAAGACCTGTACAATGTTGCGAAAGGTAAGAATATTATGCAGAATGTACTGTCGTAGTATAAAAAGTAATGCTAATTGTTGTTGTGTAGTTCTGTACATGCTAGAGTAGCTTATTTGTTACTTCGAGTAGATGTTTGTTTTGCACTAGTTGTTCCATTGTAGACATGACTGGGCAAGTTGATTATTAAACATAGATTAGTGAATTAGATTTATACAGGCGCATAACATATGCTTATGCTTGCACATTATATGACTTTAATCGGCGTTTCGAGCGTCGTTTCATATTTGGTCTTGATAGCCTACGTAAGCATAAGTAGTAGTAAGCATAAGCTATAAATTCTGGTAAAGCAACCAAGTGCATTATGGAAGGAATAAATAAGGTCTGGAAATGGACACGACACCGTTCTACCTGATTTGTAGACATCCAGCTTTTTGACTCATATGTAACTGCCATGACACTGACTGACGATGTCAGTTTTTAATCGATAAGCGGTATTACCTGTACGTCTCCTGTTCATTACCGAAAGTTTCCGTCGATGCTCAGCATAGGTCAACAACAAGAATAGCAAGAAAGGGAGGGTTTATGGTTGTTAGTACGTCATTTTTTTACGCTCTGATACCACTCACAAGGCAGTTTCTGTTCATGGAACTTCAGCGAAACTTCATGGATCCTGATTTTAATGTCGTCAGCCAGATATATGATTAGCTATGCGATTACAACGATTTCATTCATTTCGAAAGGTTTAAGATCAAGTGCCACGAATTTTTCCACAACCTCCTGTATTTCATGCGGAAATACATTCTGTCCACCCCTGAATGACATACACTGCATCAGTTCTGAAAAGCAGTAGGGCCGTCATAGAGGTGCTTAATACCTTGACTATGGAGTTATGTTATTTAATGCTCAATAGACACCGTATGTTTATTTTGCTAACAGCATACCAGTTAATTTATGGTGTCGCTTTGGCAACTGATTATGGTGTGTATTGTCATGCTTTATTTCAGTGCCTTGTTCGGCCTGTGGTGTCGCTCGACTGACTAGGGAAGCAGACTTGCGAGGAACTAATAGGTCTTCTGAAACAATAAGGTGAAAAATAAGCTGCATTATATGAGGAATGAGACGCTCTAAACAGAAATGGTGTGACAATTTGACCGAAGGTAAGTCCTGTTTCTAACGAAGTGTTGTTTACACGACATTGCTCAATGGCGTTTATTTTGTTGCTGTTTTCTTTGATTTTTTTTTTCTAATTTTTTCGTACGAACGAACTACTTTGCGTAAGGTAACAAACGGTATTGCTTCAGTGTAGAATTTATACTGTTATAATTTATTACTGGTATAATCTGCGTGTGAAACGAAGATTCTGCAGTATGATGCCCTGCCGAACCCGCGTAATATTAAAAAATCAGAGAATACGATAAATGCATTTACCTGGGAAAAGTGATCGATATGCTGCATAATCAGGTTACAGTGGTTCTACTGCGAAAGAGGACCAGTGACGTGCGTTCCATTCCATCAGTTACATCCTCTCTCGCCCTGACGGCGATATTTCATGGCAGTGAGACATGGTCTATCACGAAAGCAGAGAGCGTCCGCTATCTGCCACAGATAACGAACGAGAGCGAACGACGTTGTCTTCGAAAGCTGCGGTCAGCCGGGCATGTAGCTCTGGTCACCATTGGGAGAGGATCAACGATAATATCTAACTGTTATCCTCTTTGGCGAACTGTACCTTTCACCTCCCCCCTCCATGACGGTTTTAAGATTACATCAAAAGTCGGAGAGATCGCGCTTAGAGTAAATAGATCGGAAACCACGAGGATTGGTGGTCGTTTTGCAGTCAGGCGTTATATTTGTATTTGCATTTATATCTTACAGTATTACGGCTAGTGTTGGTCTTTAATTCTATCAGTCATTTCAGTGTGATCAGATAAAGTTGGATTTAGAAAAATCAGTTGTTTGACTGTCTATCATGATTTTAATTAACCGCCGAACATTGAGGCGGAGAGGGCAAAACTTCGTTGCGACAGCAGTTGGTCCTCGAAGATTAAAGACTTAAGTCAAAGAAACAGATTTGCAGCGCGATAAGATTTATCGTGTTCTATCTAGCTATACAGTTTAAATCAGGGATATTTTTCTGGTCTAACCGGTAGCAGTTTGCATGTGAACCTTGGTAAAAGTCGCGAAAATCCGCAAGTGTTCACCTAACACAAATGTATTTTAGTAGTTCTTTTTAAAAACAAAATCTTTTGAAGCGATAAGTGAAATATCTTCTGTTTTTTTCTCAAGAATATTCATGCTTCCCTGAATATACTTGACATTTCTTTTTTTCACTGAACGCACTGTTGGGAAGAACTGGGAATAAGGAATAACGGCAAATATGTTGAATGGCGGTTCCTTCTAAACCACTTGCAAGCATGTGAACAGCACCATAATGTTCTTGATTTGTTCAATATTTCATTTCAAGGTCGTGTTAGATTTTTATTGAAAACTTTTTCACGTGTTTTTGTAGTCTTGCCAGACTTCGCTTGAATTCTGAGCTCGGTCGTACGCTTCTCTTCCGTCAATTCGTATCTGTCTTCTTTACCTTCCTTTTGTACTATTCAGTGCAGCTAGCTCCATCGATCGACAAATGTGCAGCATCGCCTTTTTCCCGATTCACTTGTTTCTTTGTTGTTTTTAGGCGGTTACTCTTTGCTCCACCCCGTATATTAATATTTAATCTTTTAAACGTGAATAATTTAATCTTATCTTAATTTTCTAAGTGCGCCGTTTTAGAATCACCCCGATGGTTCTCGATCACAAATACGTGATGGTCAAAAACGAGGTCATCAAAGCGGAAAGACGCGTTCTCAAAGAACTGGGTTTCTGTGTTCACGTCAAACACCCGCACAAAGTAAAGTAGATTTATTTCTCCCATCATTCCCAGTTCTTATGTGTTCATTTAGCTGATTTACATGTACCTCAAAGCCCTCGATGGATTGCATCATAAGGAACTTATTCAGAAATCATGGTAAACAAATTTAAGCTTTTTTAATATTTGTGGAACTTTTACATTCCTGTAAATCTTAACGGATTTATATTTAACAGTAAAAAGTAAATATGATCACTTCTAATATTTACTTCTTTAATGCTTTTTCGGAAGGATGCAAATTATATAAACATACGTATTACGTATGTATACAAATTTTTGTGCTATTATAATTCGTTTCCAGACCATCCAAATGCTAAGAAACATTATATTTTATCTTTATTTCCTAAAAATTTCATATTGACAATTTCGACATGCTTTCCTTTGGATTGCGTAGTGTCCACCTCTGCTTGCTTGTCCACCCAGATTTGTTATACCGGCATAAAGATATCCTCTTGCCTTGTTCATCACTGCTCCATTTGTTTTGTTTTGATGGTTCGAAACAGATCTTCACTATACGCTGTTGGTACTTCATATTTTTGCGCCATCCCTTGCTTTGGTCATTATCTTGTCTGCAGTTGGTCTCTCTCAAATAGGTTCGATAACTTACTGTAGTCATCTTGACTGAATAGAACGAATATGTTCATCTTTACTTTTGCTGAGCGTTTTCTGTTCAATGTTACCATGCTGATACTGTGTCTTACCACCAATAAATAGTAGTGGAATGCGTGAAATGGTTTCATTGACGTAGTGAACAAAGCAGTGGATTGAGAAACAACAACCTATGAGATTTCATTCTCAGTGTCTTACATGATGGATAAATTCTAGCAATTCAACCATCTGCTTTTTGAACTGTCACAATGTCATTTTTGTTACACGAACTTTTTGGACGTAATTCTAAACATTGTATCGCGTATTTTCTGCTGTTCGCAAGAATGTGCGGCACACAGCAAACTCAGCGTCGAGAGCGAGGCTACTTTTCTGTCTACGAATATTCGCCAGAAATTTTTGGAGCAGAGAAAATGGGAAACTTAAAACGTCAATTTTTCAACGTTGTGAATATTTAAGGTAAAAATTTAAGGAATGGTATCATTTCACGAATTATTGTGAATTAAAATTGAGTTGCGGAATGGAGATTGCTCAGAAGGATAGCTTGCTTGCTTGTCAGCACTTAATGTGAATATGCTGCAACCAGTGCATCGCAAGTTCCATGAAACTGAAACTTTTTTATCAATAAAATCCAACAACCAGTTTGCAAGTTGTGCGTTGCAAAGTGTTTAAGCGTATATTTAAGCATTGGGGCGGCAGTGCACCAATTCATTTAGACTTTTGAGATGTGGGTAATGTAAATATCACTGTTACGAATTTCCTCGACGGGTCGCTTTTGGCAAGGGCCCCACAAGTTATCAGTTACATCAGGTCACAACGCATTGCATCTGGCAATGAGACGACATACTACCTACGGTTATGTAACCTTTGAATTTTTTGGAGCTGTTTTAAAACATCAGCGCGTTACGATAGTAAATGTTTGCTTGTTACATGCATTTTTTCTTTTAGGAACTACATGAACGACAGCCTACGCACCGACGTGTTCTTGCGGTATGCGCCGGAAGTGATTGCTTGTGCTTGCATGAATTTAGCAGCACGTGTTTTGCAAGTTCCGTTTCCTACTGATCCCGACTGGTGGGTGTTGTTCGACGCCACAGAGTGTGAAATCTTGGACATTTGCCAGATCATTTTGAAACTGTACGAAAGGAAGCCGGTATTTCGCCACCTACCGCATTGTTGTGACGTTGTTTACAGTGGAAACTTATGTTTCAGCCACACTGGAGCGCGATTGAGCAGAAAGTGAACGAGGTGAGGAAACGCATGGTGGACAATCCAGCCTGCGGCGTCAGCCTAAGTTCAGAGAACACGCCAAATCCTCACGCAGCGTCGGACGCTGCCAAGTTTTCACCTCCTCAGACGCACCGTAAGGTTTCTTTTTCAGTTCATTCATCGTGCTTACCGTCTCGCACTTGCAGCCAGCCCCAAGGCGACTGTCGGTCAGTCGGCAGACAGTGACAAAACGCAGAATGGCGACGTAAATACGACAGTGACCAAGAAAAAACAACGTTCAATCAGACAGCGACAAAACGACAACAGTTCCTGTTGTTCCGATACGTCGTCTGACGGTGATAATTCCAAGCAGCTTCCAAAACGTTACAGCACTGAAGTGGCGATGGTGCTTCATGCCCAAACCGACAAGGACAAGGTATTGAACAGAGATCGCGTCACTTCCCATCATCGTTCAAAACGTCGAAGCAGATCATCGTCGTTTAAACGCAGAAGAAAACAAAGAAAGGTACGGCTGTGGCATTAAATTATTTTTACTTGAATAATTGTTTTCTTTAATGTTGTTATCAGTGTATCTTGTATGTTTGCAGTTAACTTTTAACTGTCTTATCGCTCTTAGAATGATGAAATTTGCCATTTTTTCTTCAAGGAGAAAAATTAATATGGTTAATATGTGTTTTGCTTCCCTCTTCTGTGTTTAGTTTTTTTTGTGCATATATTTCGTAGAACCCTCTGGGTGCATCGACAATAGCAAAAAGTGAACGTCTGATGTTTTTCGATCTTTCCAGCATTTGTATTATTTAGCACTAATTTCAGTCTGGTAATTAGTTTCACAAGTACATTGCTGAACCGTATTAGTTACACCAAAAAGACTGACTTATTGTTTTAAGACTTTTCAGAGACCAGTATTATCCATTGGTATGATCTAATTCATTTGAAGGCTTCTTGCCTTTAAGCCATCTCTTGAAGGCAGCCTTCCCGTTGGCTGCCAGTTTTACCTTTCATGTCCACCAGGAAGTTCGTTTCTGTCCTCACGGCTGCAGGCCAACCCGTTTCAAACCATAGCATTCGACGGCAGCCTCGAGTATGCCACTTTTAAAGACCTCTCACTCGGTTTTCACATCACCAGGATCTGTGATGTTTACAAGTTTCGCCCTCGTATCCACCGAAGACAATGTCTCCCATTTGATTCTCTGGTTGCTTCTGCTACATTCGTGTGGTGGTCTGTTTCTCACAGCGCAGCGTGCCGATAACAAGGTGGTAATCGGTCGATAGTTTTGCGCCTCTCTTTACGCGAACATCCATGACTGAGCATCTTAAGTCAAACGATCCGATTATAAAGTTGATCAACTTCTGTGCATAAGCTTCCCACTATCAGGTATACTTTTGCACTCTTCGATGCTCGAAGAATGTGTTCATTGTACACAGTCCGTTGTTTGCTCCAAACCGCAGCAACATCATTCTGTTGTTGTTGTTGACTTCGCTAGGGTTGTTCTGTACAATCACGCATTTCCACTTTCAGCGTCTATTCCGACATACGCATTAAAATGGCCCATGAGTATGAGGGCCTGCATAACTGGCACTTCGTACAGAGCACACTCCACTTCAGGAAATTTTCCCTCTAAATTTGGCGCATGGACCTGTAACAAGGTCATCGTGTTATCCTGTTGATGCTTCAGTCGAGGATTGTCACCATTCCGTTGATAAGCTTCCATTCAGTGATTCTATCAGCCAGGTTGGGTTCTACCAAAACAGCAACACTGACCTGAGCGCGCGTCGTGATATCGACTCCTCCGTTGAATAGCTTCCACCCGCAGAGGTTCAAAATTTCATAGCCTTGGCGCTTCGTTGATTAGAATTTATGTATGTTGCGTAGGTTCCTTGTGTCCGCATTAACTTGCTCCTGCTTTTTCGCTCTGAGTCAGGAAATGTGGCAACTTCTGATTTTTGGCTCCCGCGGTCGCTGTCGTTCCTTTGGAATTTTACGTGATGTTATGATGTCGCGCTGTCTCTCTCTTCCTTTCAGAACGGCTACTGACTCTATTGCTGACTGGCATATTCGTCGTCTTTTTTGTCGACCTTCGGCTGCTGTCGCGTTCTGTTGCGTCCCTAGCTTCCAGAAAGGGAGAAACGGGTTCTAATCTCTGACTTTTAACGATTTACCTCAGTTGTTTAGCAGCCTGTGTTGCCCTATCGACGACTGAACGGTTATCGTTGAATCTTGGCAGTATCAATTAGTGGCAGATGGCTAGATTTTGCGGGAGATATCGCTACGTTTTCCGACCCTGCTGCTTTCTCATTTGGACTTCGTACTGGAGACGGCAGAGTACCTTTGCTAGTGATATAGTGAATTCTGTATCAAGGGGCCTACGCTCTTGTGGTAGGGCATAAACAAATATTCCGCTCAATGTCTTAAGATGTATTTTTGTTTGAAGAGTATCGGGTGCAAGCATTTCTTATAACCCTGTGCTTCTTGATTAATGTGAAACACTCTTCTAGCATAAAAGATTCTTCGTTGCTAAATAAATATGCCTGTTGTTTAAATCTACGTTTGTCCTTCTTTTTACGCATGTCTTTATTACTTTGCTTTAAATTGTTTTTTCTGTTTTGCCCTGACTATAATACTTTGTTGTTTTAGGGCAGCCGAGGCTCAAGCAATCGTCGTAAGATGCAAGAAAAGAAAGAGCGGGAGGTCCGCAGGGCTTTGGGAAAGCGATCTACCTCCCCTCTCTATGACAGGAAAAGTAGTTCTAACTCTCGACGCCGGTGATTTATTGTTATGCACAATCGTGTTTGTCCTTGGGAAGGTGCAAGCGAAAATGGCAATGCTGTTGTCGCTGACTTTGCGTAACGCGTATTGCGAACAAACCAATAACCTATCTTCATATGTTGGCTGCCAAACGCCTGTGTTTCTCCGATATATGGACAAGAGCAACTCGAGATGTTCACTTTGAAGGATGTCCGGCAAAATTTTGTGATTTTCTCTGTATTTGGTAACTATTTTACATGACCAAATGAAACCATTGCCTAAAAATTATTAAAGGATCGCTTTGTAGTAATTACATTTATCCATCTGTTTATTAGTGATGTAAACAATTTTTATTGAAATCTGCATTATCGACGATATACGTGTACCCCTCAACATTCGAACGTAATTTTTTTCATAATTGTACGTAATGTGTAAATTTGTAAATCGAAAATTATATTCCCACTAATTTTTACGTAAAAGATTCTGGTCAGATTTTCAGCTGCTGTGAATGTCAACCAGTAGTTTTCTCATGTAATAATTTTAAGCAATCATAGAAATAAGAGTGATGTTAGTTATTTAGCCTTGTAAAGCACTACTGAATTCTAAATTATGTTTCCATTATACGGGTGATATAAACATCAAAAAATGTAAAAAATCTGATCGAAGATTTTGATAAAAACGTAAATTTCTCTACATTGATTTATGCCGACCCTTATACTTGTTTCACATGGGCGCATATATAGACGCTTCGTGCCAACCACATGTCAGCGTTCGACTTTTAACTATTTTGTTGGGTCCTAAATCAGGCGCTTTCTGACGTGTATGAAGTCAGATAATGGATGCTGCTTTTACGTGTTAAAACCTGTCTCGCGTCACAATAAAAACTAGTACTGGGCAGACATTCCAAGAAAAATCTAGTGTCGGGCGATCTGCAGACGCACTGTATCCAAGTTTGGGTTAGAGAAAAAAATGATTAGAAGCGCTGTTAGTTTTAAGACGCTTTCCCAAAATGAATTTTTTTGCATGAAAATTTGCATATCTGCCATTTTTCAAGGGTGGATCTGAAGTTACTTTCAAGCAATACTTATTAGGAGATCTGAAAAATTAGTCCACCGTGGTCCTACGTTCAAGGGACAGCGAATGAAATAGTCAAATTCTAGAAAAGCTAAACCAGTGTGGCCTGCTTCTGTTTAGCATGCCTATATAAGATATAATTATTTTTTAATTGGGGATTACGTGCAGACCAGGGCGCGTAATGTGCATAGTATGCTACATGCTAATAATCATGATGGGCTAAGTAGTGACGTCTTTGTCTAACGTATTTTTAAATTATCAGTAGACTATGAAAAATGTGAGATTGAAGTCCTAATGGTTAAGCTTTATGTAAATTACCCTTAAACCAAAAATGATTTATGTGAAAATGGAATATGCGTGACATTCAAGTAATGCAAATGTTTGCAGGTAACTATATGAGTGGTTAGCAGTTGAAACCAGCTGTGGATGTTGATATGATTTATTATGTCGGTACTTGTAAGTATACCATAATTATCGAAAGTAAGCTGAAAACTCACTCAAGAAGGCAGAATGCTCGGAGGAGCTCTAGTGTACTCAAAAATTAATGAACAACGAGATTGTAAGCATGATTCGGATTTTATTAATTATTTTACATGTACTTCACCGTCGCCCCATGTTTCGCGTAACATGAATCTATTCGACCGTATTGGTGTGGTACCGAATCCCTGTTAACTTCTACGACTTCATGGCATTTCAATGTGCCTGCGGTTCGCCGATGCCTGTCAAATCATTTTATTGACAAGGGTGGTACTTGCGTTTAATGGATTGTTTTAGAAATCGATACTGTTTTATGCATGTATCAAAGTGTAGGCTTCAATCGATAGGAATATGCGAATGATATCGATCCACTGGACAGGTTTTCATGGCATCACGCTTTCGATCTGTGATATTCATGTGTCTATGAGACCGACAGAATATGCAGATAAATTGAGGCTAGTCGGAATTGAGGAAAGGCACACAACCAATATCGAGATGCGGTCGGGTTGTTGCTCTCTATCTGGAGGGTTTGGTACCGGCAAGAAACTAGTAATTAATTATCAAATTTTCAGCTAAACTTGATCATATGCGGAGAAACGGCACAGCGTTAAAGTTCAGTCATTAAAGACGCTTCACTGGAGGCGAGAAAAAAGATTGTATCTGGCTGCTTTTTATCTTTGATCTCTTTTCGACTTGCAGCCGCAAAAAAGTACTGACCAAGTACATTAAACTATGTTTATAGTAAGGAATTGTTGTACAACAATAGTTTTTCCTCATTATCAGTGAAACAGTCTACTTTAGGAGTAAATTGCTCACAAAGAATGCATGCGTATTTGTGAACCCAAATTTCTCTCAGATGTAACTAGGAAAGGTACACGATCAATCAAACTTATATGAAAAGGACCAGTAAAAGTTCTCAAGTTACAGCATATTGGTTGTGCGCTATAACATCGTACGAAAGCGATGTAAGATTGGCAACATTTTTACCTTTTCTGTTTGCGAAATGTATGCGACGGATGCTGTGATCGTTCTTTCACAGACACTTTATAAAAGGTTCATAGATGTGATGCTCGGTGTGGACAGCAGGGAGAGCAAAGAAGAAATTCATCGTAGTCTCTGATTGTGAACAAGGGTGATTCTTATAGGTCATGCAGTGCACCGTCGCTCTGTGCTTCGCATATCGTTCAGATATCTGAACAAAACCATCTCAACTCTGATATCTCAGTTTCGGTTTTGCTGCGTTCCGTTACTGGCTTTGGCAAGTTATTTCGTTGATGCCGCAACGGCTTAAGATAATGTCGCTCTTTACCTTTCTTCCGTATGCATTGCTTGATTCGATCGTTGTCTCCTTTCCACCAAGACAAAATTTGAAAGGCTGTGATCAACGCAACCTTCCGTCTATCGAACAGTTCAAATTTCTCTTATTCTCTGCTTTCATTCATTCATCCGCATTTTCGTTCAACTGTCCGTCCTTCCTTTTAGCGATCATAATTTTTTTCATATTATGGTGTTGCCTCAGTCGGTCGAATGATGCTCTTCTGAAGATTCTGGATAATAATGTACTTCTGGATGTTGTTTGCAAATGTCGGTGGCGCACTTTTTCACTCTGGCGACTTTTAGGCTCATGTGGCAATATGATTGGCAGCCACTTGCTCTGAAAGCAGTTCTTCTATTACGCATGCAGAAACATTTTTGACCACCGCATGTATGTCTATCGTTAATCTTGTGCTCGTTTAACTCAGCAGTTGTTAAGCAAAAAGTCGGTGGTTTGTCGTAAAAAAGTTTTACTTTGCATACTGATTGATCATTCAACAGGAATCAGCGAATTTTTAAACGATGTGCATAAACATGTTAGAAGATACCATCCATTTCACCGCCATGATGCATAATTATTCCATGTGAAAAAGCGCTGTACGCAAAATGTACGAAAACACCCATTTAGCGCTTAATCGTTGGTGATAAAGTGCATTTAGCGCCGCAGGACCGACTCATTTACTTCATTAGTGTTCGGATGAAAACGGAATTTTTTGGAAATTCCTGTTTCCAGCGAACTTCTTCGTTTATGCACAAATGTGGCTATCGGCAGCAGATACATTTCTAATAGATAAGCAAATTTTCTGCATAGAAACCAGCTAGTTTCTGTACTAACGAACCGCAACGAACAACGATGGAATTAATCATAATTTCCTTCTCCATTGGGTAACCATAAGCAAGTTTTCCTCGATGAAATTTTTCGTTACCATATGAAAGAATGTTAGGGTCAAACGAATATCTTAGGTGTAAATATTTTTGATAAATACTTTTAGGTGTAGAAATATGTTGCTAAACCTGTTGTCATGCGTTGCAAAAATATATTCAACTCAAGAATATCTGGCCAAACCAGTTCTTAGTGAATCAGAGGCAGTGCGATTTTTTTGAATACGCATAGATGCATCTTATGTCGCAACAGAAGGGGAAACACTGAATTGAACCTTTTAGAAACATCACAACCTGCGGCGCGATGAAGCAGGATAAAGAGCTCATTGCATTTACGTATCACCTTATACAAAAAAGGGCAAGTTTTTATTCTCAGATAAAACAGCAATTACAGACAAACAAGTAGAATGGCACAAACACATAACCGGTTTTGGCAAGTTTGTTCTGAACGTTGCAAAATCATAGAGC